GAGTTACAGTAGCACACATGGCCATCCGGCCTGAATGAATAGAAGAGAAGACATAAACACTGAAGGTATAGAACCACTGGATACTAAGCAAGTAAAAGTAAGTCACTGGACTGAGTCACAATGGGAGAGGCAAAGTTAAACATTGTCAATTGGAGGTCATGAAAAAATAGTGAAGTAGAAATATAAAAAGAGGAAGTTAAATATAGGGCACCTGAACCCAAAGCCATCAGGTATCAGCAGATAAGTCCCCAAGGAGCTCAAGGAAGTGGACCAGACAATCAGAGCTGTCTGCATGGGGTTTCCCACAAGTCAACACATTTTGCCTTATGGTGTGTTAAAAGCACCTCTTGGCAAACAACACAGACCTGGGGATGTCATCCTTATACTTAAAATAGTAACAAAGACCTCAAAAAATGGTCAATTATTCCAGAATAAAGGACAAATTCCACAGCCACAGATGCAGACTTATCACACTTACTTTGTGTTTCCCCCCTTTGTACTGTTACTCTTAATATGTCATTACTGAACATTCCAATCATCCATCTGAAATTAAGGTCCTATCCAGCCATCAAAGTTCAGTTCAACTGAAATTATTTCCAAAATTCCTTCCTGTATGTCTCTAGTCAGAGTTAATATAGGTTCCTGACCCTCAACCACAACGTAAGACTTAGATTATGCTTTTGATCAAAGCATGATGACTAAGGCATAATTTACCATTAAACACCTTAATTTAGAAGAATATATATATATCCCCAAACTTGATTCAGAGGTGGTAACTGATCCATTTCATCCTTCAACATTGCCTTACCTATAATAGTCACTCATAAGCATTTTAAAAAATTGAAGAAAAAAAATAGGAGATTCTAACAACAGAAGGGGACTTGAGTTATGGCCTCTAATTCCCTTGAAAACCTGAAATTTTTTTTTAAATATATTTTATTGATTTTCTACAGAGAAGAAGGGAGAGGGATAGAAAGTCAGAAACATTGATGAGAGAGATCGATCAGCTGCCTCCTGCACGCCCCCCAGTGGGGACGCGCCCGCAATCAAGGCGCACGCCCTTGACCGGAATCGAACCCGGGACCCTTGAGTCCGCAGGCCAATGCTCCATCCACTGAGCCAAACCGGTTCGGCAACCTGAAATTTTTTGACACATTGCCCCCACCCCCTTTGAAACTATCCTAAACAATGCTATTACCTGCCAATTGTTGCTGAAATAGAAATTACCCTAAAGTCATATAGCCCCCTTTGTTCTGTGGCATCAGCTCAGAACAAAGCTAACAGGCCCACAATTGAAACTCTAGATCCATGATGCCAAGTTCTAAGATTATGATCTCTAATATATGTCTCTGAGTTAGAGAAGGTATTCAATTTATAGCAAATCAATGAAGAACAGTGAATGAATGAAGTGACTGCTAAATGCACACTCCAAACCTTACAGGCATAGAGGTCAAATTGATCCTGACAGAAACAACCAGAAAATGTCTCATTTGTTTTCCAAGACTCATCTTTTTCCATAAAAATGAGAATTGTCAGGCCAATAATAATTCTTCATGCTAACTATTTATTTGCCCTTTTCAAAGAAAAAGAAAGTTTACAGCAAACATGAGACATTCAGTGAGTCAAGCAGAACTCCATCATCACCTGGTCGTTCCAAACAGCAGTAGGAAACCCCTTCATCTGAAACTCAAAGCCAGACAGAGGACTGAAGCAAAACCATGCGCCCAGTGAGAAGAAGGACAAATCCAAGAGTCACGATTTCTCAGGTTCATTAAGAGTTCAGTCGGAAACTACATGATCTACACCTTCTTGGTCTCAGTTTTTCCATTTGTACAGAGAGGGAGTCAGTTAGCAAGGACGAGTACTGCAAAAGGCCTTAGCTAGATGGCTGGTGCAGGGATGGACTAAATTATCTCTTAGGCCCCTTCCAGCTCTGAAAACCTTTTCATTCTTATCGTCACACTTAGTAGACGTTCGTTTGTCTCCAACCTGAAAATTTGGCTGGAAACATAAACAGACTTCTACAGGAAAACACACATCTACCAGCTATAAAATTTGGACTTGGCAACAGGAGGTTTCACCATACTATGAGAGAAAAAATATACAATTGTCTCTGGGGGCTATATGACTTTAGGGTACATCATAGCTCCTATCTAAAGGGGGATACAGATAGAGCCAGAGTGAGGCCAAGTCACTATCCTGTCCTGTCAATAAACCACAGAAAAGTGCACACCCATTTCCTTTTTAACGTACCTACAGTCTTTCATATATTCAAGAATTTGCAGGCCTCTCCCTACCAGATTTGTCCTTTTCCATTGGCAAACTCAATTTTGTTTTTTTTCATTCGTCCTTCTGTTTTGCAGAGAACATAAGCCAACATGGCAACAGGCTTTTTGTTTATTTCCTTCCTTTTTCAAAACAAAGTTGTGGTTTCAGAACAGTTATCAGGACAAGGTCCCTACAGAACAAGACTTTTTATAATTTCAGGACTTTTTGAATTTTTCATAATGGAGCACTTTAACAAGGCCTTGTTACTATTATTCTTGCTGTCATTATTTTTATATAGTAATAATTATAGCATCAGAGTATCTGTAAAGCCACTAGTTTAGAAATTCAAATCCATCTGTATTTCATTTAATTATTAGATATCGATAGGTTTGCCTTATTTTTAATTATGAAGAAATTGGGACTCAGTGTGACTGGCTCAAAATAGCATAACTGGAATAAGCTGCTCAACTATTATTCAAACACAAGTCTTCTGTCACAAAATCAAACAAACTTTACAGAGAAGATTGACTAAGTGAAGCTTTTAATTGAGTAAATTTAATTTGCAAAGAACCAATGTCCACAAAATAAGAGCAAAAATATAAAAAAGACAAACTTTAAAGCTTTTTTTTTCATTTTAATAAAAATGACTACAAAAGAAAAAGGGAAATTGATCATTTTGTTTCTATTTGCAAGGGATCTCTCTGATGCATGAAATAAATATAAACTTTGTCAGACTCCTGTCCATTACTTGAATATGATTTATTTTTACCAGCTTAAAATAAAATAAGGTATAGGAGTTTGTAACATATATATCTGAGAATTTTTTTAATTTGTTTTATTGACTTTTTAGAGAGAGATGAAGGGAGAGGGAGAAAAGATAGAAATATCAATGACAGAGAAACATCAATTGGCTGCCTCCTGCACACCCCTAACTGGGATTGAGCTCACAACCCAGACATATGCCCTTATCCAGAATGGAAACAGCAACCTCTTGGTGCATGGAATGAAGCTCAATCCATTGCGCCATGCCAGCTGGGCAGAGGAAAAAAAAAATTAAGAGTCTTTTGAGATCTAGCCTCCAGACTGAATTGAAGCTTACTGGTTATAACTGGAACTCTTAATTTCAACTGATTAATTAAAAAAAAAAAAGCAACTTCTAGTTCCTAAGATCTAGTATATGAAAAATAAACCCTAAAAAAAAAAGAAAAGAAGAAAGAGAGAGAGAGAGAGAGAGAGAGAGAGAGAGAGAGAGAATTATGTTGAACCAATTTTAAGGAAACCAAGAGGGGTTAATTTTTTTAAAAAAATTTATTTTGGAAAGAAAGAAAGAAGAAAGAAAGAAAAAGGAAGGAAGGAAGGAAGGAAGGAAGGAAGGAAGGAAGGAAGGAAGGAAGGAAGGAAGGAATCCAATGGCTACTTCTTACCTCTCCTACTCTAAGTCCTTCTTTAGGCATCACCTTACCAGTGAGGTCTTTTTGACCATATCCGCCCTGGTAGGTTGTATCCCATATCCTTTCCTCAATCCATAGAATAGATCCGAATCAAATGTACTTTGTATTGTATATATTTTATTTACTTTTACCTAGTTTTACTAACATAAAGTGTCATGAAAGCAGAACCCTACCTTTTTTGCTGTAGAATTCCTAGTGGTATTAGGGTGCTCACACAGATGCACAGAAAATTCATTGAATGAATGCATCATTTCTTCCTCGATCTCCCCCAAACCCAAAATGTAGGAGAAAGAAAGATATATAACAGACCAAACTATTAAAGGGTTATTTCCTAATGCTTTTCCTCTTTAAAAGTTATTGTGAGAAAATTTAAAAATGTAAAGATAGACCAAATAATAGAATAAACCTCCAGCACCCAAGAATTATCAACTTATAACTAAACTTATTTTTACCTATATTCTCACTAAATCCTTACTCTTATTATTTTGAAACAAATATCAAACACCATTTCATTTTTCCTCAAATATTTCCAATGTTTCCCTAAAAGCTAAGAACTGTTGTGTTTTTTTCTTCACCCTGTCTGGAGTAACCACATCACCCCTAAAAACTAACAATAATTATTTGATCTGTTATTTAGGTTTCCTCCCTGACATGAATAGAAAGCACTTGGCTGCCTAAATGGTGGCAGGTGGTCACCAATGCCCCTATATCATCACAGGCTGAGAACTACTTCTAATATTGCTTCCTACTCTAGCCAGATGTAATCAACAGTCTCTGGAGCACAACAGTTGTATATAACCAATACACTGTGTAATGTGCATCATGAACCTCACTCAGAAGAGAAAATCCTAAAGACATTTGCTGCTGCTTTTGCTAGAAAGATACTGCTGACCAATTAGGACCTAGTGACCAACTAGAGCCTTAAAATATCAGCCTTACTCAGGTAGAATGCAATGTTTGTGAATAAAGAAAAAAAGGCAATAAAAATATATGGTTGTGTGTCCCCAGGATAATATAAGAACATGTGAACTGCTCAAATGACATTCCTAAAACATGACTTTCAGTTTTGAAACAAATGAGTAGGTGAAAGGATTTCTAAGGCTTGGGAGTGCAAGCTCTGAGAAGCTTGAGTTGGGTGTTTTGCATTAAGGTGCCTTAGCTTATTGTGTCATAAAGCTCTCTGTGCGCTCTGGATAAATGTTTACCTGCCACAAAAATAATCACTGAATTCATGAGCTTCCTAGCATGGCTTATAAACATGACTTCAAACACAGATCTTACCTGTGCCCTGAAAGAACCTTCATCTAGGGGTGGTGGAGGAGGGAAGTTTCCAGAGACAGATGGAAGAGTACCAGGATCATCTAGAGGTGGAGGTGGGGGTGGAAGAAAATCACCTACAAAAAGAAAACACAAACATAAAGTTACTATAGATGCAATCTTATAAGCACTCTTCAAAACACACATTAGCTGGCATTTTCTGCTTGTAATTGGCATGTCAATTGGCATGATCTTTTGCCTTGCATAACAATTATTCCCTATCCTACTTCTTCTCACTTTAATTAGTAGCCTTAACTTTCTGAAGATTGAGGACCAGATTTGATACTTCTAAGTAATATCAAAGCTACTCTATAGGGGTCAGGTACATTTAACCAGAACAAGGAAGGTCGTTGGGGTGGTGGATTATTGAAGTATACAAGACTTGATTTTTACTCACAACAAATTTTCTCTCAAGTAAAGGAGAAAAAAAATAAGTATTCAAGTAAGGATAATAAAAGATGAAATTTATTAAGATGAACAAACAAACTCTCCTGGAAGCTAAGATGAAGGAAAGCTTGTGTCCAGGTGGAAAAATGAAGGTTTTTACCGAGCATTTAAATTGTTCCTGAAACTTTTGATGTAGAAAATAAATCCATTCTATACAGAGAGAATTAATTAGACATAGGGATTTTTAAAAAACAAAAAAACAAATTTAGAGCCTAAAGAACAAAGAGCAAGTAACAATACAGCATAGAGAAATGTAAAATAAACTAGTATGTTACAAAAATTAGAACAGTGACAAAATAAGCTTTTAAGTGTGTTGTACAACCAGCAAAGAACTTGAATTCTATCATGCATGCAATGAGGATCCATCCAAGATTTCTGGAAAGGAAACACTTGGTTGCAATATGATTTACTAAAGACTAATCTAAAAAGTACATGCAAGGCAGATTCTGAAAAACTTTGGATAAGAAATACTGATTTGGAAATCTATATGCAGTCCGGGTAGGAAGTAATGAGGCTTTAGGACACTAAGAAACCCCAACATTGTGACCAACAAGCACAGCACATAGAGTTGTTGGAAGAATATGCCTAGTCTCTGAGATCTGAGGTATCAATATATATCCAAGAACTCTGTGGATTCATGGTATAGAATTTTTTTTAAATACTCTGCAAGAAATTCTATTAGGAAAAGAAAATGCCCACTAAAATTGTTTTATTTTATTTGTCCTTTTCCTTTATATTAAATTTATTGGGGTGACATTGGTTAACATATTTCAGGTGTACAACTCCACATCATCTGTATACTGTTGTATGTTCACCCAAGTCAAGTCTCCTTCCATCAAAATTTATTCCCCTTATCCCGTGCTCCATCTTTTAAAAATAATATTTTAATGTGCCGGTAGGTGTGGACAGAAGTAGAGAGATATGCACAGTAGGCATAGTCCAAGGAGTCGAATGTGTGAATACGGTTTGAAGGTCGGATGGCTGAGTGCATTCATTCATTTGTTCATTCTACACACATTTATGAGGCACCTGCTGCATGCAGACTGTGCAAGTCCTGGCCCCTCAGGGTGTACCATCCAGTGAGGACAGCAGACACATTAGGGAACAGGCAAGAAGCTCTGGGCATATGGGAGCCATCATGATGCAGAGGAGAGGTCCCCAGCCAGCCTGGAGGAGTCCAGATGCTTCCTGGGGGAGGAGATGTCTGAGCTGAATTTTGAAGTTCAGAGGAGGGAGCACTAGTATAGAAGAAGAGGGGAGATCTCTGTTGGTTCTCAAGCCTAGAGTGATGACAAAGAAAGCAAGAGGTGGGAGTGGGGCAGTGGAGGCAAGAGGCCACAGCCAGGGGAATGGGGACATAAGGAGCGATTGACCCAGACCTGAGCAGGGAGCTAGGTACTCTGGAGGGAGGAGACTCTTAAAAAGGGGATATTGCTTTAGAATATTACAAAAGAAATGCATGCATATGGTGACAAATAATATGTGCCTAAAGAAAGTAGATGACTACAAATACTTAAACCTCATGTAAAAAAAATCATATCAACAGAGCCACTTTAAAAGGGAGCCAGAGCCAAAACCGGTTTGACTCAGTGGATAGAGCGTCGGCCTACAGACTGAAAGGTCCCAGGTTCGATTCCGGTCAAGGGCATGTACCTGGGTTGCGGGCACATCCCCAGTGGGAGATGTGCAGGAGGCAGCTGATTGATGTTTCTCTCTCATCGATGTTTCTGACTCTCTTTCTCTCTCCCTTCCTCTCTGTAAATAATCAATAAAATATATTAAAAAAATAAAAATAAATAAAATGGAACCAGAGCTGCCATCCAAGAGGAACTGACTGGCAGGTCCTATGCCACAACTTTTCAGAATGTTAAAACAGGGCAAAATAACCTCTGCACTGTGCCTAAAGCAATGCTGTGTCCCAAAGAACTGTTTTCAATGATAACAAGAAAGCAGATATTATGACCACCTACTGATAAGTAGGGCACTGAAAATTTTAAATTGTTTAGAATTAGCATCACTATGTTATCTGCATCAGTAGAAACACATTCCTTCCATTGATGTAATTGTTTCCCTTCCCTTTCTCATAAATACCATTGCCTTTGTCTCTTAATTGAAACATTATTTGGGCTTCTGCCTAAAGTATGCTTCCTGAATATCTCAAATAAACTAGGGTTCTGGTGCACGAAATTCGTGCACTTGGTGTGTGTGTGGGAGGAGTGTCCCTCAGCCCAGCCTGCCCCCTCTCACATACTGGGAGCCCTCAGGCGTTGACCCCCATCACCCTCCAATCGCAGGATCGGCCCCTTGCCCAGGCCTGACGCCTCTGACAGAGGGGACCCTCATTTCCCCCCATCACTGGTCCTGCCCCCAGCCCAGGCCTGATGCCTCTGGCCCAGGCATTAGGCCTGGGCAGGGGGCCCCCAGACCCGTCCGATTGATGGCTCTGCGCCTTGCCCAGGCCTGATGCCTTGGCCAGAGGCGTAGACCCCCATCACCCCCCGATCACCTGATCGGCCCCTCGCCCCG